CACAGATCATTCAAAGCTTTGTACAAAAATTGAAATTTGCTTAATTAAAAGCCTAATAGCTGTTAATTAAAACGTAATTAAGTAGTGTTCAATATTCTTTAGAGTTCTAATTCAAAGCCGTGTTGTATCCTAATACAGCTCACACAGCAAACTGAATTCGAACACGTGGATGTCGGCAATACGTATCAGTTAAATTTGAAGCGCTGACGCAATACGACTCACCACGTGTCGGATGTTGCCACACAAAGTGACAGAATATAGGGATTTGGTAGGTTTCCATTCTAAAGGCTTTTTAATAAATGTGGCAGCATTTTGTGACGTTTCATCGTTGCTGACGCGTAGTGAAGTGTTTTGAGAGTCATGTGAAGGCAACAGAACTTACGTAACGCATACGGTTTTTTTTATAGTTTTTCATTTCTCGATGCGTCCTTAATGTGTCGGAATATACCGCGTTTACCCTACCTAGTGCCAATTGCCAAATACTTTTGAGTTACCCATACCTATTTAAATATACAGAGGCAATTTTAATGATTAGGGTAAACGCGGTATATTCCATCACATTAAGGACGCATTGAGAAATGAAAAACTATAAAAAATAACCATATGCATTACTCAAGTTCTGTTTGCTTTATGTGACTCTCAAAGCACTGCACTATGCGTCAGCAATGACGAAATGTCACAAAATGTTGCCATATTTATTTAAAAGCCTTTAGAATGCAAACCTACCAAATCCCTATATTCTGTCACTGTGTGTGGCTATATTGGGCAAGTGGTGAGGCGTATTCCGTCTGCGCTTCAAATTCTACTGATACATAATGCCGTCATCCACGTGTTTGAATTCCGTTTGCTGTGTGAGCTGTATTGGAATACAACACGGCTTTGAATTAGAACACTAATGAATATTGAACACTACTTAATTACGCTTTTAATTAACAACTATTAAGCTTTTAGTTAAGCAAATTTTAATTTTTGTACACAGCTTGGAAGTTTGGAACTATCTGTGTGTGTCCAATTCAAGTTGTGACGGAATTAGTTTTCATATATCCAAGTCCATTTCTCAACTTAATCATCTATTAATTTATTTACCACTTGAAATCAGCAAATACAGGTATACTTATAGATTCCTAATATATTCACAGATGTATTTAAAAGTCTCAAACCATAATATTCTTCCTATACAAAGTTATTCACTATTTGGTAAAGCAAGGTCAACTGTCAAATTTGACACATTTTTCGATGATCTCAATGGGTAGCGTGCATTGTCTCTCTTTGGATCTCAATATTTTCCCGCTAGATGGCCAAGACCTAGTGCTTCGACAGTAGTTTGACACGCAAATGTATGACGTCACCATTTGTCCATTTCAACCATCAACGAACGCATGGAACTAAAACAAAGCTTAATATAAAGGAAAAACTAGAGAGGTGACGGAATTACCCACGATGTCGGAATATACCTCGTTTACCCTATGTATATGTAAGATCTTAAGTGCTTGAGACAACCTTTTGGTTCTCTTTTTTATTACTACGTTTTTCTTAGCTCGCTTTCGTGTCTGTTGGCGGGCCATAATTTATATTCTACTTTCTAGTCCACAAGAAAAAAACGTAGTTTTTTAAAAAAGTTATTTTTATGTATTTTATTTTCTACTTTTTAGTCCGTTGTTACACATGAAAAACGTTGTTGCGAGCCAATTTACTTAACTTGACGTACGTATCGATGATACGCAACGTCAGCGAATGCTCGTCTATAACGTGAGCGGCCGCACGTCTTACTATATATAAACTATATATAGTATATACGCCTGGAAACGTGCAACAAATTATTGATAACTGTATTGTTATCGGGAGCTGAGCTTCCCTAAAAGTTTCAAAACGCTAGCTAGTGGGAAAGTTGGTGAAATATCGATTGCAAGATTTGATCATCACAGACAGACAGACACGAAAGCGAGCTAAGAAAAACGTAGTAAAAAGGGACAGGTGGGGTAAATTGGGATGCGCATCCCACATTTTGTAGAAATATTGTAGCAGCTAAACTAATAAATTATTGCAAAACTAAAAATAGTGGTGTAAACTTCAACCTTCTTACTATCTATTATGTATAAAGCTAGTCAAGAAATCAAACATTTACTATCTCTGAAAAATCGCTGAAAAAAGTGTGAAAAGTGCGATTTTGGAAAAAGTACCTCTGCTAAGGTCTAGAGCAAAAAAAATATTCGCCGTATTAAAAAATTTTACTTACATAAAAGTTGCACACAGGTGTCGGCTTCAAAACGTAGTTGATGGAATTTGCCTATCTCATTCCAAAAAAAAAAAAATGGCAGCCATTTCCGCGTGATGGGGTGTAAAGGGACGCCTCCCCTGGGGTAATTAGGGACAACCCCTAAAACACATTTACAGCAGATTCTCTATTAGCAAAGGCTACATTTAAGATAAATATGGGTTTATCACAAAGATTTTTGTTTAAATTTTAAATTTAAGCAAAACTCTAAATTTAAATTTGAATAAAATCTTCTTGGGGAGCAGAACAGCCTGGATGTTAGGCAGAACTTCTAACATCCAGGTCACTCAATGCAATGGTCAGTGGTCACTCCCTAAAGAAGCTTGTTGAGCTCTTTGTCGTTAGGAGGATTTGGGAGTACGGCTGGTAATAGGTGAGTACATTCTGCACGCTTCAAATGTTTAAAACTGAGTTCTATTTCAAGTGTCCTTTTTTACCATTCCCAGATAAATTCTGGAACCTTTTATATTGCACCTAGCACCTTACAAATAGCATATAGAATTTTTTTGAAGATCCATTCAATTGCCCTGGCAAAGAGCTATATAACAAGCTTAAACTTGTCTGTGAAATGTTTCATGGTGAGAAGTTATTAACAAAAAACGCTCAAAACCGTCCCTTTTTACCCCGTTTAATTTTACCTGCCCAATCAATCTGAAATTTTGCACACTTGCGTTAATTTGGAGACAATGCACGATTCATTTGACAGAATAAATAATTTCAAAAAATTTAATGTGTTTATTTTAAAATAAAATTTAAAACTGACTTTTTTTAATATTTGAGGATAAAATTAGAAATTCATTTTACATATGTAACATCACAGACACTGAATTCTTTAGAAGTATTGTCTTTAAAAAGTAATTTTTAAACACTTATTATTATATTTGAACTTCTTTGATGACTCATTTGCTTCATACAAATACATACACATATATATCACTCATTGTCACTGGTAATCAGTAGATCTCTCCTAATCAGAATGCTAAAATTAATAATTGAAATGTAACAATTCTCCTCCCTCCAGTTTATGAGAACAAATATTGGGAATATAATTAAAAAGTAATTGGAAGTTGCTTCATGTATGGCTGAGTATTAGAATCTCGTAGTCCTTCCAAAACAGAGAAACAGTGCAGCTAATTTGACAAATTTGAGAATTTCTTGGCCATGAGAATGCCTTCAACAGCTCCAATTTCAATAAAGTCCCTTTCTTCCAAATCAGAAGAAAAATATCATCATCAGTGCATGTTCATGATTCATAATCAGCTACCAGGTAAGTGATTTTTTTTTCTAGTTGTGCCTGAAAATTTTTTATTGTTGATTTTGTTTAGTTATATGTGTTTATCCAATTTAATTAACCCCCCCAAATTTATGGAGAATGAAAATGTTTGCTAATTGTTGGTTGTATACCTATATATTATACTCTTATCAAGTGATTCCTGAGTTAAAAAAATTTGGTTCTTAAATGTTTTGTTGTAATAAATGAATAAATTAAATTACAGGACTGTACTGTGGTTATGCATCTACCCATGACGTCAATGGAGAACATTCTTTGGACAAGGAGCTTTGCAATGCTTCTATGCAAGCTTTAACTGCTGTTGGTTTGCATGGTCAAAGTGAGTTTGTTATGTAAATATTTTTGTAGCTTTTTAAATCATGCTTGATAAAAATTATTTTTTTGGTCTACTCAGATTGAAAATGTATTCTTAACAGTGAAGATATATATTCCCTGGTGTCTAACCTGATTCCAATGGCCACAGAATTTTTATTGAATATTTATAGGTACCGTACTATATATCTATCAGGGATAAGTGGCTGCCATGAAATGAAAGCCTTTTCTTTGGATGGGACAAAGACAATTTTTTTCCAACTCCTGCTAAAATGTTGCTAATTATTTCTTCTTATTTGCAGGCAATGAAAACATCTCCGATATTAAATTTTGCCTTTTCTATGTGGGTCGTCCTTTCCCGGTGCGTTTACTCTTCTCAACACGACAGCCCTGGATGCCCCCTGATATCTTGTGTGACGACAACAACTTCATGGACGCTATCACTCTGGAATTGATGGAGGATCATGTATGCTGTATGATATATTACTTAATTTAGTGGTGTTGCTAATTATAAATCACCTGTCCTCACTGCCCATGTTGACTAGAGTTTTCATAGCTAGTTTCAGTTTTTTAACCTCAACCAGCTGCTCCAATCTTGGTGATCTTAACCACTCAACACCCCATGCCAGCTTGACCATCCCAAGCATGCGTATTGTTCACAAATATCTTGAGGCATTTTTAATGTTGCTTGTGTGAATGTCAGTTATGATAATGATAATTGTTGAGTTTGGTCACTCATTTTAGTATATATATATATATCAAACTTAAAGAGGCTGATCAAAGAAGTATCCTCATGATATGAAGACTGAGGTCTGAAAATTATATACATATTGAATTAATGTTGTATTGAAAAATATTTTGGAGTAATTTGGTCATGCTTTGTTTTTATTAGTCATAATTTGTTGTAGGAATTTACTGTGCTACAGAATCAAATGATATAGATACATACCGGTACCTGCCCGATTTTATTGAAATGGATGCCACTGTTATCAAGAATTTCCTTCTAGTTAAGTTTCTGTATATTTTTAATACCGTAATGGTCTCAATGGCAGGATCAGCAAGTCTTAATATTTCTCCTAAAGAAAGGTTTTTAATGAGGGGCTAAATCCTAAATATAGGTACTTCGTAATCATAATCTCATGTGCAACTCTAATCAATTTGAACTGCAAACAACAAGGGCTCATTACAAAGAAAAAGCTATTTAGATAACTTGGTCAAATTGAGTTACGTGTAAAGCCAAGATTAACTAAATCCTTTTTTTAGTAGGTACTATTTGTTTCTTTCTAATATTAGAAAACTTTTATATCACTATGATATACCTACAGTATGTATATAAATATGCAAGGCTATAAAATATCGTTCACAAGATTTTTAAATTCTCACAATAGATTCATTATTTTTTTGCTCACATTAATATATTCAAATGTTGGCTCTCGGTGGTCATTGTGTACAATGATGTTTTGAATATTACAGCTGATTGTAACATTTAATGAAAATTTATTTTTATTTCTACCTCAGTTGGTGAGTCTGAAGAGTTGGCAGGAGGGTCGCCAGGAATGTGTTCATCAACTGCTCACAGAGCTGCATGGTCTCTACCATCAGTATCAGGTAAAGTTATTCTCAATTTTAATTTTAATCTAATCTGATTTTGAAATTTTTTTGAGGAAAGATTTTTATACAAGTCTCGGTATACATAAAAATTAATCAGAGCAGAACCCTGGAAGTAAATTTTACTGGAACATTAAACAAAATTTCTGCTTAAGCACGGCTCAGAATTAGTAAAATGTGTATTTAGGGTAACCCTATTTTGATAAACTAACCCCTATTCTCCATCAATCATCTGCTGCCAGTTGGCAATATCATGATTTTCCTCTCTTTTTTTTTTTGTACTGGAATTAGTTCACTTTAGAGCTACCAGATTCCAATGTTGACTGATTCAAAAGTCAATGCTCCTAAGGGAATTCATCAATGATGATATCCACAGTACCATAGTATTTTTCTCATCAGTTTGGGACCTGCTGAAATAATTGGAATTTGGAATGGTTCTCATTATCTCTTCAACATACACATTAACATAGTCAATATGCATATACACATGCCACGTGGTACACATACATGCCACTCTAGAATCAACATGTTAGCTGGTCAATTAATATTAATCTGTAATTGAAACTTTTTACCAAGTATATACCTGGTAAAAAATCCTTGTGTCTAATTATAAAAAAATTCATTCTCATTATATACACTTTGAGTTTTGGATTAATCCCTAAATGACCTTAGATTCTTGACATCATATTACCTCATGTGACTGAATATATCAGAAATGTTCAGAATATTTAGAAAAATAACCTCACAAGTGATGTCATCCAAGAAAAATAACCTCACAATTTGGATGAATTTATGTCAATCAAAGGCATGTGATAATTTTGTAGTATGGTGGCCATTATTAATCATATACAAATCACTCATGCCTCTGATCATTATAAACTATATTAAAATAATTTTTGACCTGCAGCTTTCTCTGCTGGACGCCAATGACCCGCTGCTGAAGGAGCAATACAAGGAGTTTCTGGAAGAATTGCAGCTCAACAGTAGCGATGTTGAGGTCAGCTTCTGTGGATCTTGTTATCTTGCTCAAATTGTGTTTTATGTTTCGAAAAACACATTTTATTTCTTACCTTTTAATGCGTTCACTTCGAGATACTTCGTTTTCTGAGAGCCCTTCTGCATGGAGCTCCTTTCAGACAAACACTCGACAAAATGAGTGAGAATTTCCAAAAAGCAACGCATGTTTTGCGCTTGTGTGGGTCATCTTAACCCAATTTTGCCCTCCATAAGGCAGTATCAGCGATAGAAGCGGGTAATGTTGGCTGCTACAACCATTGCATATTACTTTCCTCATGTACAAGAACCTGTACTTTGTGCTGCTTTTAATGTCTGGAATAATACTACACAAAACTAGAGGCATAATGCAAAACAAAAGCATGCAGGTGAGCTGCATGGACAATATAAGCGTTTAGGGTACTTACCTTTGGTTTTGCTGCTCTTCATGCAAGGAATAACGCTATGAAATAATAGGGGCATGTATAATGCCCTATGCCGTGCAGGTAAGATCTGTGTATGCGTTCTATGCACACACTTTCTCATAGACTTGATTTGAACGTTTGCAATGCATGGAATAATACTATACAATACTAGAGGCATAATGCAAAACAATGCCGTGCTGGTAAGCTGCGTGTACGGTGTATGCATTCTATGTACACACCTTCTCATAGACTTGATTTATGCTGTTTGTAATACATAGAATAATACTATACAATACTAGATACATAACGTCAAACACTGCCGTGCAGGTGAGCTGCGTAGAGGGAGTTAGCGTATTGTGTGCCCGCCTGCCCATCGACTTCAATGACCTGCCAGCGCCGCTCTTCTCGGAGAACTGCGGGGCCACCCGATGTGTGCTCAAACTCACCTCCAATGTACGAACTAAATATGCTTCTAATACTTATAAATAATTGGTATTCTTAAGATATGAATAAATATACAAATAGATATGTAGGTATACGTACTTTGTGGGAATTTTGATTAAGAGAATTGGAATAAATAGTCAAGTAAATGTATTTGATCTCTATACCTTTAATGGAGGATAGGCTCAACAATAGGAACAAATTTTGAAGTAACTAATCTGTTTTCAATACTGGAACGAATTACAGTTGCGAGAATATGAAGCTCATGAATAAATACATTTGAAATAAAGAGTACGTTTTGAATTTTGATTTTGGTGTATTTATTTTTTAGATCATTATTTATTTAGGAAGTTTATTTAGTAAGTTGTAAGTATTGTCAAGGATGTCTGATCTTACTCGGCTTTCTGATAAGATCATTAAATAATCACAATGATTTACCCTGCTCTAAAATATTAGAATCTAATTTCGCCGGAATAACACCATATATTTATGAACCATAATTGACCTCCAAGTTGTATGTTCTTGAAATTTGTTTACTACTAATTTGAGATCATATGTGTTTTGAACAGCGTTTGCTAGATAATTAACGGCCGTTTGTCGATTTCTTCTCTAATTTGAATGTCTATTCTAATGTCTATGTACAAACAGTACTTCAGTGAAATGTGGAGAAAACCTTACATCAATTTTTTACACATGTACTTCAGTGTCTCAACTCGTCTTCAAGTTGACGGTGCTTGCAGTTTGTTGTATCCATATTCCCATAAATTGAACTTCAACTTAGCAAAGAAAGTAACATAATTTATCATTCTTAGTGTAGATTGAACATAATTCAGCTAGTAAAAATATAATATTTGCTGTATTGCATGGTAGTATGAACAAAAGCAACACTTTATAGGTGATTTTGCAAAAATTTTCTCTGTGATCTGACAAAAATGTAGAATAATTTGCCATATTGCAGACTGGATCGAACCAATACGAGCCATCTCTCTCGGTCTCTGCCAGAGCGGAGTCGTTACTGTTTGACGACTCGGGAGACGTCCTCATCCTGCCAGCCATCCCTGCCAACTGCACAAGTCTTGTGGCCTATGCCTCCTCCGTCATCCAGCTCATCAATGACGTCATCAAACGTGTCCTGCATTCATATGAGATACGCAAGCAAATCGTCGCTGAGGTCCGGGTGCTCATATTTTCTTTGGCTTGTCTAGCGGTGCTATCAATACAAGCTCATTGTACTTAAGGGATTTAAAAATCCTGTAGTTCCATTGTGTACTTTAGGGATTTAAAAATCCTTCAATTATTTCTATTCATACCAATGCACATGAAACGAGTGTAGATGAATCAAATGTAGCAACATTTGGCTTAGATGTCTGCCATGTATCCATGAACTACCGTTTGCTTAAACGTTTGAAGTTAAAGCTTCAGTGCAGGTTATCATTCCCTAACTCAGGCAACTAAAAATCAGGGAACACTTTTGAATCGGTATCTCCTCGACCGTGGTGGCTTTGCTGGAGAATTGTTGTGCTTGTTTTATGTTATATGATTTTGATTGTTTCCATGTCAGTAATGCATTGTATTCAGTGTGGTTATTTTTCATGTGTGGTGTTAACGCTTTTCATATCAGCAATGTATGGATTTCTATGTAGTTATTTCCATGAGTGATGTGAACGCTTTTCATATCAGGAATGTATGGTTTTGTTGCAGTTATTGTGCAAGTATGACGCTGCCATCTCCCACTACGACAGTGTCAGATTCAAGAACGTGCAGCTGCTGCTCGATGAGGAAGGCTTCCATTACATTGTTGACATTCATTTCCCTCACGGCTTCCCTCAGGTATGGTATATGCTGATGCCAGCCCAATGACTTACTTAATAGTAACTAGCTGCTAACTAAGAACTAGTTGTGAACTGGTTACAACACATCAACGCGTGCCATCACTTCACCACACAAATAACATACCCAGCAATACACGTTGTATTTATCTTATCATTTTGATCGTCATGCTATTCGGTTTTGCTTGATTTTATGTCTCCCGATAATTATATAATTTTATCAAACCTCGATATTTTTTAAAATTCTCAGGCTTGATCGATTTGCATTTACCTTCTCTTGGGTTCAGCTAATTTATTCTTTTCGGTACAGAAAAATTTCCCCTACACTACGCTGTCTTATAAAAATTTTCTATATATTTTCTTAATGTATGGAGTTGTTACTTTAATAATCTAATAGCTACAGTAAATAATATTAATTTCTTTTTTTCAGAAATGTTCAGCTCGAGTCTACCTGCGCTCAATCAGCCAAGATGACAACGATAAACCTGTGTCGGCCCCGGTGAGCAGTGGCGTGTGGCGTGTGGCTCTAGCCGTGTGTGGCGTGAGGCTCGAGCCGTGTGTGGCGTGAGGCTCCTCTAGCCGTGTGTGGCGTGTGGCTCTAGCCGTGTGTGGCGTGAGGCTCGAGCCGTGTGTGGCGTGAGGCTCAAGCCGTGTGTGGCGTGTGGCTCAAGCCGTGTGTGGCGTGAGGCTCGAGCCGTGTGTGGCGTGAGGCTCGAGCCGTGTGTGGCGTGTGGCTTGAGCCGTGTGTGGCATGTGGCTCAGCCGTTTAAGGAAGCCAGCCCATTCACTCATTCTGTTAACCTGGACACTATTCTCCTCAAACGAGACCTCATGGAGTTAGCATCTTTTTCCAAGTTTAGTTTTTAACAGTAAATACCCAGTTATGTCTAAACGCTCGATTTCAAAATCTGTTGGCTATCCCTTCTAGACTTTTCATCCTTCTGGCTCTGATTACGATTGAACAGTGAATGTTTTATAATTGATGCCGCAGGTGCCGAACATGAACCACATTGGCGAATTGGACCCTGACGAGCTCCTGAGACAGATCATGAGTGCCTCTATCGCCTTCGCCCCCACCTTCAGGAGACAGCACTGTCACCGAGTACCGTCCTAGAGTGTGGGGGAACACTGCTTCAGCATGCTTTTCTAGAGCGCAGCACTAGAGGGCAGCATTGTCACCGAGTGCCGTCTAAGAGTTTGGACGAGCACTGTTATAGGATGCTGTTCTAGAGCTCAGAACTACTACAAAGTTGTCCTTGAGCAAAATACTACCAAGAGCAATCCTAGAGCTGAGTTCTGCCACATCAGAGCCGTGTAACGGAGCATGCTTCAGCTCTAGAAATGTTCTCGGCGCTAGAGACGCTGTTTCCTTTCCGATCTTCCATACTTTGCAGAACGGCTTTCACGTTTGACGTTAGTCTGTACTATCTTGAGCTAGTCAGATATATTGCTTAGTTTGTCTATTTTTCGTATGTATATTGGATGATGAGTTTAATTTTGTGATGTTTCCTTTATCGGATATTTTTGCATTGCGGTAAAAGTTTAGCATTTCTTTGACTTATGAAAGAAACATAAATCAGTCCATGACGGAGGTATTAATTATAGATGAATATTTTGAGTGAAACGAAAGGTTTTCCGTCATTTATCGGCGTTGATGCATATCAGCGTACTACAGGACGGTATTGTAGCCAAGACCTATAAGATCAAAAAATAGTGTTGAACCCAGAGGAAAAATGTCGCTAATCTTATTTTTTTTTTCTTTTTGTTCCTTTTTGGCTTGTTTGTAACTCCTAATTAAAAGATGTTTATTTTCATGATTTTATTCTATCAGTCCCAATAATGTCGCTGATATTTTTAGGTTAGCGCTGTATTTAGAATCTGTACTTAAAATCTCAACATACAATCTCTTCTGTGCAATACGGTTTTCGACTTCTTGGAGGCACCACTGAGGCACTCGTTAGAGTGCAAAACCACATTCTCCCGAACAATACCGAAAAAAAACGCACAATATGCGTATTTTCTATATGCGTGAAGCATAGGACACCACCTGGCAACATGGAATTCTTCAGTCTTCATTGTTGCCCCTGCGGACACATAACCAGGGTGTACCGCAGGGTAGCGTGATAAGCTGCACACTCTTCCTGATGGCAACTAATGATATCACCACCGCCTTACCTCCGAACGTACAATCGTCACTCTATGTTGACGAGTTTATGCTCTACGCATCATCCCGATACCCATCAACCCTTACGCTCAAAATACAAATTGCCATAAACTGCGTTGACCAATGAACCACAACGCACGGGTTCTCGTTATCCAACGAAAAAAAAACGACTGCTGTACACTTTCAACGCGCGCGCTCCCCCGAACTGCCTCCTCAACTGTCCCTTCAAGGTAGACCGAATCTGCTAGCCCCATAAACTGTATTCCAACCCTAGCTGTATTGGACTCCGTCCATAACGCTGCTATGCGAATATGCACCGGAGCCTTCAGAACATCACCTGTCCTCAGCTTATATGCAGAGAGCGGTGAACCGCCACTTTACCTACGCAGAGCACAACTCACGCACCAACTAATAACCCGCCTCAAACAACTGCCCCCAAACCCCAAGGTGGCGCAGCGTTATGACCGAGAATCAAGCTAACCTACCACCCTCTGAAGGCCACGAAGCACTATTGGAAGCAGCACAGATACCTGCAGATACGAGGGGTCCCTGTAAACCTTAACGGGACGCCCACGTGGTGGCGAATCCTTGTAGATTTTTTCTGCCCCAATCAGAACTATCCTAAAAAACCCACAACATACCCAAAAGCGCTGAAAACCCAGTCCCTTAACTATATCTCCTTGGAACGTGCGGGATCGGCGCACGTTCCAAGGATATATAACGGAACGTGCGGGATCTACACAGATGGCTCCAAATCAGATGACGCAGTGGGATGTGCGGCTGTTTCCGTTGCCGCATCGATATTAAGAAAAGTCAGTCCTAACTCGTCGATCTTCACCGCAGAACTCTTCGAAGTGCTTAGCACCCTGACCCTCGTGGAGGACCTGCCAGATGATAACTTCACCCTATCCATCGAATCCAAAAGCGTACCAAAGGCTCTGACAATTTACAATAGCAAGCACCCCATCATTATAGACATCCTGGCGAGGCTGACAGAGATGGCGACGGCGGGAATTACGGTGCGCGTTTGCTGGAAGCCGGGCCATGCCGCCATGTGGGGGGGTGCGTGGGAACGAGAGGGCGGACGAGACGGCAATCAGCGCGGCAACGTCAAACATGGCGATCTTCAGTGAAGAAGTCCCAAGCAGCGACTATTACCCATAATCAGAGCAGGCATCCGTAGGGTGTGGCAAAATAAATGGCAGAATGATGAGGGAAATGAATTGCGAGCTTTGAAAAACAGCGTACGAACCTGGATCGTCCTATCAGAAATCGCGTTGCATCGCGGGAGTGCTTGGGCTAAATGACCGAGCACTTTCTGGAATTCCACTATGAAATTTATTTGAGTACAGCTGCTTTGGTACCATGATGGCAATATCTATAGCATTTAGAAGGATGATGTTGGCTCCACTCCGTTCCAGGGCTGATTTGAGAGTTAATTGGCTGGTCTACGGCTGCGCACCCATTAGTCGTTAAGGTGCCTGTACACAGGGATAGCACTAGCCGCTAGTTCATCCGCCGGTCACACTACTAGCCTCGTATAAAGGGGTTCAGCCACTTCAGAGGCATGCGCCGGTAAGTGCCCGAGACGCGGCCGAGAGCGACAACGATGTGTTCATTTCTTCGCTGGAGATTGTGGCTAGCAGCGCTGATTCAGCCATGGTGAGAGCATATGTCAATGATATGTGCCACTCTTGTGAAGCATCTTGCGTCAAGTGAATCATGGCTTGTTTGAACGATAATGTTTCTAAGAAAAACCCAACAAAATGGAGTCCTGACGATTTCAATTGTTCTTTGAGATATTCCAAAAATATGAATTACTGTGGAATGTTCGCCATGATGGTTGGTTACTCCAACAAAATGAAGAGAGAAACTAGTAGTTTGAAACTGAAAGAAGACCTTATTAGTCATGGTTTAGTTGTTCCCGACGTTGCTTTTTTAAGGGCTAGAATAAAGAGTATAAAAACGACGTACAGGCTCGAGTTGTTGAAGGTGATCCCACTATCCATCTCCCCAAGCTATAAGCTCTCAGGCCCAACGGTCATCCATCTGGCAGACCTGCGGCTTTAAGTCCACTCCAAGTGGACACCCTGCAAAGAAGAAGAAGAACTATCCATCTTCACTCGACGGCTTCTAACGACACACTTACTTGGTTAAGATGAGGCGCGTCACCTGGCCTAACGACACACTGGCGGGCGCGAACGAGAAGATATAGCGGCATCTCATACTCTCCTCGTGTACAGGCTTAACTTGCCGGATAGTCACCAAGCTACCGACATTTGCAAGATTTGCTAGCCGTCTGCACTATCTCCGTGTACAAGCACCTTAACTGGGCTCAGAATTTAATAAGACACTCAATGTAGTATAGTATAGTATCTTCGGCATTTAAAGAACAGGCCTGTAGCCGATTCTTGTACTTTTCTTGGCTCGACTGGCCTTTTGATCAGATCGTTTCAACGGACGGTAGATGTAGTGATCTCTAATTCTGACCTTCAATTTTGTATTCACTATAGGTGCTTATACACGGGGCGATTAGTTGCGTCTCCCACAGTTTTGCAGGCTGAGAGACTATACACGAATATAGTGTTTTCGGTACACTGCCGAGTGCGGACTGCGGGACTACGCCCGTGTGCCGTGTTCGTGGCTTAGTGCTACGTTGGGGGTTGTCGAGAGAACAAATGATGTGATTATGTGAATGGTATGAATGAACAACTTAAGGAATGTATGAATGAGGCTGCCAGGAGCACATGCACAAGAACCAATAAGAATGTATGCAAAAACCAGAAAAAGAATGAAAAATGGTGGGGAAATGATGTGAATCATAATTTTGCTACCTGCGAATCTGATTAATTAACTTTGTTAGTGCTTCACTTATCATCCAATGTTTATTGCAATTCTTATTTAAACTGTCATTTGCTTGCAATTTATTCTTGAATGCTTTGATTTTGTGTGTTTATCTTGAAAACTTCATAACTTTTACCAATTACTTGAATGGTTTTACTTGGTTCTAGTTTTAGCTTATCTTTGCAATTGTTTCCTGATTTCACTCCAAATAGTATAATGTTTGCCTGTTTTGTTTTTCACATTTTCTTGCTTGCTGCACGCAACCAGCTTGCTATCAATTAAGAATCTATTTTAAATATTCATTGCATCAGTTTTAACATTCAAGTTCCCTTCAGGCTTATTATTATTATCTAGTTGGACAGGTTATTGATTTTTGTTCTCTTTATTTTTCAGTTCATCAATGATGGAATATGTGTAACCCTGTCCATGCTCCCTTCCCCTAGCCCTAATCATAACTCCTGAATGCAGTTAAACTTATTCACTCATTACATTGTCACCGAATTTTTACTTCAATTTAAGAGATTAAGACAAGGTGAAATTCTAGGGGGTTTTAAATGACCAATGGAACGGCCATTGCTTAGCCAATCACAGCCTGGATAACATGACATCATGATCCCATAACCAGTCATAACCTGGATAGCATGAGATCATGATCCTATCAGCCAATCACAGTCTTGAGAGGATGATATCATGATCCTATTGACCAATCACAGTGTAGAAAGTATGACCCTCTCAACCAATCACAGATGGGAGATGACATGACTCCGCCCACTCACAGATGAGAGATGACATGACTCCGCCCACAAGTACCTTTGAGCACTATATGTTAGAATTCCACCATGGATTAAGACACCAGTCTTTCATTCGCCTTTATCAAACTAGATAGAAGGGTTGTCTGTTGTTGCCACATCAAACTCAAAGTAGGTAACACGGTTACCTCACCCACAACGTGAGACATCCACCCGGCAACATTGTCATCTCCGACCTTTACAGTAAATAGCAAATCAACTACAAACAGCACACTATACAACTATGCCACACTCTCAAAATCTCAATTCGCATAGTAGGGAGCATGGGCAGGAAGAAGATGCTGCTGGTGGCCCCTCTGGTGGGCATATGGACATTGGCTGTGCTGGAGCATCCTTAACTTCAAAAGTTCCATCAACTGATAACCAAATGGCCCAAATCATCTCACTTCAATCATTGTTGGGTCAATTTGCTCACCCAAAAGTCCGTGCTGACTTTGTCAATGGCTGCTTTAAAAGCATTGACCCCGGTCTGCTCCATCAACTAGATGAATTGAGATGGACCATATTTCCTCGTTGGCATGGTGGTTTAGTCTTAAAACCAGACAAACATTACCAAAAATCTGCTGAACATCTTGCCAAACTTCTTGGACAGAGCAATGAACTTTTAATAACTGATATTAATGCTGTGGAACATTGCCGGACTTACTGTGAATGGCATGAGGTTCTTGAAGCCATTTCTCGAAACAAATACTGGACTAACGTTCCATCTGAACATCGATGTACACACATCATCATGAGCGATGAAGGCACTAATGACTCTAAATCAGCTGAGGCAGCCAAGGCTGTAAAATCCATGAAGAAATTACCCATGAAGGCACCATCAAAGAAGGACAAGAAAAAGAAGAAGGCTAACACTAAAATTGAAGAGATAATTGTTTCATCCTCCATTGACACATCTGATGAATCATCAACCCCATCATCACCTGAAAATTATGCAACAAGTGAGTCAGATGACTTTCTTGCACTGCCACATAGGGCACTAAGAAAAGTAACTCGTGATAGGAGAGAGGTAGTTGCTCCTCCTGTGTTCAAGATTGATGGGAAAATACCACTAAAAGACTTCTTTAATGCATATGAAGAATATTTTACCAACAAGTTCAAAGGAGATGAGTACATCAAAACACAAAAACTGGAAGAATTTCTTGAAGGAGATCTGCTGAAAGTATACAAAATAAGGAGTGAGAAGAGATTGAAATATTGGAGAGTTGCCACTTGACAGGTGACGGAGAGTTGCCGCTTGACAGGTGACGGAGAGTTGCCGCTTGAAAGGTGACGGCGACAGAGGACACGCGGTGATGTCTGCAGGACGCGCAGCGTCAGCAGCTTCTGCGCCTTCGTCAGGACCGCGACTGTAAGGGACTCGTATTGCGCTGCTGCGTTCCCACGTCTTAAAAATTCTTGACCTGGATGACTAATGTGGTCACGAGCTAACCATATTTAGGCGAATAAGTTGCAGCAGTTTGGCATTAGAACATTTAATAATCATGATTCAAACATAGTTGCGAACATCAAAAAAAGAACATCAAAAGTTGCCCATGAATAGTTGCGAACATCAAAATCCTTTGCATATAGTGATGTTAGTTCAGATACGGCCGAAGCTGAAAAGTGCGTTAAAAATGCCCACTCCCCTCCCCCCTGGGAGGAACATGAGCCATGAAGGCCTTCCCCCTGGGAGGAACATGAGCCATGAAGGGAGATGAACAAAACATGAGACAAGCATGCCGACTAAATTTAGATTTAGTCGCGTCCTTTTTTTCAAATGGTGAGGATATTACTCATTTTGAATTGATATCACTGATGCAGACTATGGTTCATCAGTAAGCAAGAAGCCTAGCTTAGAGTTGACGTAAATGAACTCTATCCAAGTAAAAGTATCGAACTTCCATAACAAAAAACGCAGCGCTTCGCTTCATTTGTTCGTAGCAATATAAAGAACTACTTCATCCTGACTACCGCGGGGTTATTCATCAATTCCTTGTATAGGAACCATCGATCGCGATTGCAGGTTAACATTCGTTAACCTGCAATTGCTCTTTACTTTTATACCAATAATTCACCAGTGTGAAAGCTCTGAAACCTCGTAAAATAAAGAAGTTTCATATATATATTCATATTAGGCTGTTCATTCAGCCCTGAAATCACCTTAGTCGCTTGAACAACAAAATCCTTTGCATATAAAATAAAAACTATTTGTCAATCATAACACCTTATGTTTAAGAACGCAATAACAGTATTGGAGGAATGATAAAGTACTTCATTATCTCCAACACTGAGTGTCAAGGTTATATGGCAGGATATGATTCTAAACTAAGAGTCTGCCACAACAAAGACAAACTGTCAGTAGCAGTCATCAAGCTGTCAACTTGACCCAGGGAGTGAGGAGTGCTGGAGGGTTAAGGGTCAAAACCAGGGTTAAAATTTAGCTTCATTTCATCCAAAGATTTTGCTGAGTTCAAAATAGAATTTATGATGGAAATATCAGAGGCATACAGATTCTCATTTTGTGGTCTGACGCAAGCATGCCCTCCAGTTGCCTCCATGCCCCCTCCCTTCATGTACTGATACACATAAATGGTGTCACCATCTTCCATGTTCAATCCGTTTGGTGTGTCATTATCTGACAAACGTTTCCCATTAAATATGAATCGCATTGTAGATTGAGGAAGCCATATCCTGGCACAGTAAGCACTCATGAGCTTCTCGAGGGAGGTGTGCTGCTTGATCTTGAAGTGCGCGACTTGACCATTTAGATTCTCAACCTTCAGATTTAGGTAATCTGTGTGTTCTTTCTGAAAAATACGAGGTGTTGAGAAATAAGACATTGTTATTGGTACAAGACATTATGATTCATTTCCTGCAAAGTAAGCATTAGGAATATAATAATGATATAATGTTAATGATGATACAATGATCGACACAGAAAAAAGTGATTGAAAATTTAAAATATACATGCAAACAGAAATAATTTCAACAGGTCTTTCTAAACTTGATCTTTTTCATTTTTTCTCAGAAAATTTTCTGAATATCTCAGCTAACATTGTTTGTCACGCACAGAGTTATTGATATAAAAATATAATCAGCGATGGAAAAGATATGACAGTTGGCAAATTGCTGAAAGAAGTGCTGTTTTCTCCACAGCTAAAGCATGCTAGATATCAGAACTCTTGATCAAATATTAACTGGGGTATGACTGAACAAACACAAGCTAAACTTCAATTGTAAAAAAAAATAACATATGCGGCCCGACGGGGGGGACAGCTGCAGGAGGCCGGGCTTCACCTTCGAGCACCCAGCGACCCGACGGGGGGACAGCTGCAAGGGGCCGGGCTTCACCTGCGAGCACCCAGCGGCCCGACGGGGGGACAGCTGCAGGGGGCCGGGCTTCACCTGCGAGCACCCAGCGGCCCGACGGGGGGACAGCTGCAGGGGGCCGGGCTTCACCTGCGAGCACCCAGCGCCCTCCACCGTCGCCTGCACACACAGGATATGAGAGGGAGTAAACCAATCAAAAAAACGTTACATGTAACTAGACAGCGCCCTGCACACCAACCCAACATCTTTGCCTCCACCCTCCCACGGCAGAAACTCTTCAGTTCCGTTTTTGCCCGTGAGTGACATGTCTTGCATTCTGCCTGAGAGAAGTAGAGAAGCAGCTCTACCCTCTCAGGGGAAGCCCGACTTCACAACCTGCTATACTCAGCACAAGTTCACACTCTTTCGGGCTACTGTAGCTCTCTGTCTAGGGTGGAGTGCTCCAAACCACATAGCAATCATCCGTATCCCTTCCGTCTTCACAGCCCAAGCCCCGTCTCCCCATGGCCAGTTTGAGTGAGGGCCTCTGTCGGCTGCTACCATCTTGGCCTAGCTCGCTGTCACCCACCTCCCAACTGCCCTCTCCCACCTGCCTCCTTAGCTTCTTCTGATCTGTGAGCGTGAATGCCGATGCCAATAATTTACAAATTTATGTGATAGGAAGTCGATATGCCAGAGTTATCCTGGTGCCTCTGGTACGTAACACTAGCCATAAAAGAGGCCATTAAGGAATCAAGAGGCTCACATTCATGGCGTAGTGCTGGAGGTGCAAGTCGGTGCTGGACAGCCTGCTCGCAGACCCTAGGTTCTGGTCTGTACTGGACAGTCCACTTGCGTGCTGGTTGGTAGACAGGCCAGCAGGGGGCTGGATGGGTGGGTCTGGGCTGGGCAGACGATCCAGCGAGTCTGTGCTACTGTCACTGGACTCGAGGCGAGCGCGCGATGACTTTGATGCGCCCTGCAACATGGAGAGATTAGAACACGTCTTGCAATATCAGACAATTTCAAGTCCTGCAACATGGAGAGATTAGAACACGTCTTGCAATATCAGATATGTTCAGGGACGAAGGTGAAAAGACTCCGTGTTATATGCCAAGTTAGACAACTGTACAATATACACTAATGCAGAAACTGGAGCGAAATAACACCTTAGTGTTATTTCGATTATTATCCAGCGCCTCACAGACATTGGTATGTATAACTAGATTAATTATAGGGAATACAATCTCTCGCTTGGCAGGTCTAGGAAACAATTCATACCTAAAAATGATGGTTATGTCAGAGGAAGTCATCAAATTAATTAAGCTAGGCTCATGATGGATAAATTAATATCAAGCTGCACATGCTGCAGCAGCAGCATGGAGCAGCACATGCATCAGTGGCATGGAGCAGCACATGGAGCAGCGGCATGGAGCAGCACATGCAGCAGTGGCATGGAGCAGCACATGGAGCACTCACTCCTGCAGGCTGCTGAGCTTGGCCCTGGCGGTGTCTCGCTCCAGCCTGAGGTCCTCGCTGCGCTGCTGGGCGTCTCTGAGCACCTGCAGCTCCGCCTTCATGGAGCTCAGCTGCCTCTCCAGCTTAATCACCTCCGTCCTGCCACATAAAGAACATGTCAGCTGCAAGCCATGCTTCTCCTCCTGAAACGTTCAATCCAACAACGTCCAACGAAAGGCTGCGTTCAACACTTGAACGCAGCCTTTCTTGGTTGCGTTCTAGAGTTCAACACAACGTTCAACTATTTGAAAATTATATTTTTTTCGGCAAGTAGTGCTGGGCACCAATAAGACAATACTTGAGCGGCATCCAGTGGGTTAACTAGAAATAGGTCTCGTACATATGACCAATTTAAAGTGTTTTTATAGTAGTCATGTCAGTAAAAATAGATTTATTTATGTTATCAATGGATTACAAGTTCATGGGATTTGTTTTTAATGTTAATAGATTTTGAAGAGATAATGGCATACGCAAGCAATTTTCTTTACGTGGAAAGTTTTTTGATTTATTTTGCAAGTTCAGATTGACATACATTTCTATAGGAGACATACATTTCTATAGGAGACATACATTTCTAGCCCTCGAGAAACTCACCTCAGTTTATCACTTATTTCTTTCTGTTTTGTAACGTCTTCTTTTAATTTCTCCAATTCCTTCTCCTTCAAGCTCACTGGAAACTGTAAACAAAATTGCATTAAATGCATTTCATACGCAGGCTTCACAATAAAATATGGGATACTTTATAATAATTTGACAAAAACCAAACATGAGAATTGAATATTTGTGGGACAGTAGGAAGCTGAAACAACCTTATGTGAAATGCAAGCCAGACAGTGAGTGTTGACATTTAAAATAACAGGAGAAGTCAATCAATTGAATCCCAAACACTACAGTGGGCAAGAGGTCTACCGATGGAATCATGGGCTAGAGTCCTCCGTATTGATACACATTCCTTCTTTTCCTTTTAGAATATAGGCTATACAATAATTGAAATTTCAAATACATTCATAATATCAGCAGCTAGAATCAACTCTTGTTCAATGATAGGCAAAGGCATGGACCTTTTTTATACCCTCATAAGTTCGCCAAGAAATGTAGGTATAGTTGTAGGTATACGTTTGAGATTTACACGTCCTAAAATGGGATAAATCTCAGGCTTCTTAGCAAGTTCAGTACGGTGGTCATAAAATGCACAAGTCTTCATGATATTAATGAAAGATACTTTATTTTGAGGAACTTTTAGCATAATATACTGCCTGTTTACCTCTGCATTATCCAGCTTAGATTTCAGAGTGTCAGCATCATCTTGATTATCCTCACTGTTGCTTTCATCAAAATGGAGACGTAGGAGCTTCATCTTGCCGGAGAAACGACATTTCGGACAACTTTTGGATCTGTGAGGAGAAATGAATGATGTCACTCCTATCAATGCCCAATGAGTGACATCAATAACAGAGACATTACAATTTACCTCATAGTATTAATTAATTATTTTAATAAGTCTTTAATTTTTATAAGTCACTGTGACTAATATTTAAAGGAAATTAAATTTGAAAAATTAGTAACCACAAGGGAAATTTTCTGGTGATAAGCCTAATTTGAGCCAAAAAACACTGATTAATTTACCATTACTAAAAAATTCGTGAATGATCACTTGTGAAGCCTTAGGTTAGAAACAGCACAGCAGAGGGTTCATACCGATATTTAGATAAAATCCATGACTGTCAATATAACTTTCCAAGACTCATATACAACAGGTTTAGCATGACTGAGAGACTAACCGTGCATATTCTATCATCTCCTACAGTTGATATATAGCAAACATGTGAATGCATAGCATTACAAAACTACTTGGCATACCTTTCAAACCACTGAGCAACACATGTGGTGTGGAAGATGTGACCACACGGTGTGGCCGACACTTCAATGTTGGGCAGGAAGACCTCCTCACATATAATGCAACTTGCAGGCATTATTATCACAAGAACCCTTTCAAAATCTTATCTTACATCTGCAGTCAAAAAAAAAGTTACTTTTTATTAAATAACAAAATAGGGATGGTTTTGAGCGTTTTTTTGTTAATAACTTCTTACCGTAAAACATTTCACAAACAAGTTTAGGATCATTTTATAGCTCTTTGTGAGGGCTATCAAATGGCATCTTCAAAAAAAATTTCATATGCTATTTGTAAGGTGCCAAACGCAAAATAAAACCGTCCCGATTTACCCCTGGGAACAGGGTAATCCGGGACACTTGCAATAAAAGTTAATTTAAAAACGTTTGAAGCATGCAGAGTGTACTCATCCATTACTAACAGTACTTTGAAGTCCTCCTCCTTCATTGTGGATGATGTAGATGTAAAATAAATGCCATTTTTTGTGATTTTTACTTGTTTTTCCTTTATTGATATGATATTACCATATTCATTAATTACCATATTATTGATGCGATATTACCGTATCCATGAACATGCCATTGAGCATTCACAACTACCTTGTCCATTGCAAGCTTCATATCAGCAGCCTTATAGCATTTCTTCTTTATCTGTAAGCTTACATGATGGCTTGTAATTTCACACCATTTTAATTGTGTTAAGTGAATTTACTATAAGAAAAGATTGTGAAAAACATACCTGAAACAGAAAATAATGTTTTAGTGACAACCATCATATGTTTTGGAGAAATAAATCATAGTTTAGGAAATTACTCTTCATTCTATGATGCCCGGTGCACAATTCTATATATAGCATTCTATGTACAATTTTGTGACGACCGATGATGCACTAATTTTTTGACAAGTGAATTTCTTTTCGCTGAGCGAGGTAAATGTAATCAAAATACTTTGTTATTAATCAATTTTTTTGTTAACTGGAGATATTGCTAACTGAGGTTCTACTGTAAATGCATTTTTAAGGTCCCTAATTACCCCGGGGGGTGTCCCTTATTACCCCGTCATGTGGAAATGGCTTCCATTCTTTTTGGAATGAGATTTGGAATTTTGGAAATTTCGTCAATTGTCTTTTCAAGCCGACACCTGGGTGCAACTTTTATGCAAGTAAAAGTTTTTAATATGGCAAATATTTTTTTGCTCTAGACCTTAGCAGAGTTACTTTTCTAAAATAGCACTTTTCACACTTTTTTCCAGCAATTTTTTTAGAGATAATAAATGTTTGATTTTTTGACTAGCTTTATACATAATAGATAGTAAAGATGTTGAAGTTTAGGCTACTATTTTTAGTTTTGCAATATTTTGATTAGTTTAGCTGTAAAACCATGAAATCAATTTGATGCAATCTTACTTTCTTATTTATAACCCACTTTTCACTTTATGTTTCTTTTTATAAAAACCCCGGGTTTTTTAAATTAAAAAGCCCAGCCCGGGTGGGTAGGTGGGCAGCTCCCTGGGCAGGTGCCCAGTGCAACCCTGGTTCAGTGCCCTCGAAGGTGGCAGTCGCTTGTTACGGCGTGGATTTGAAATAGAACAACGAAGCCAAGATGACACCAACCGCAGGTGCTCAGTCACAGCAGTCGTAACATATTTGAATAAGATAGGCCATGTACATGGAAATAGGAGTTTAAATAGATATCGTGGTTGTTACAGACATCTCAGCGAGCAACACAATTTTTCAAAAATGTTGCGTGAGCTCGGATTTCGTTTTGCATAAAATAAAAAAATTTTGATGGAGATGGAGAGCGAGTGTCTTTTGCTCATTGGGGCTTGAATGCTACTTTATTGTAATATCAGCAGGCATTTTTCTTGAAGCCTTCTTGAGGGGCTGGCAGGCATCAGTGTTGTGAGAGTGGCAGTCATGCTCATAGGGATAACAGTGTTGCAGTTATTCCCAGGTTTGCTAACTGGCCGTTTCTAACTCTGCTGACGGTTTTCTGACTATAGAATACTCTTTTATCGTTGTATAGATTTACTTTATCAGTAATTCAGTAATTGTTCAAGTCTCGCGATGGATTTGGTTGACTGAATTTCATATCTTTAGTTGGTGTCAACATTTCTTTTACGTTCTGTTTGGTCGATTTCTCTGAATAAGATTAGTAAATGCCCTCAATGTAATGATATCATAAGTTTTGAGATTGGTGCTAAATTTTGGTATGTTGTATATATCCAGAATATGGCTTGTTGATAAATCTGGGTCAATTTGAGTTGAATTTCGCTGCGTTAAGACCGATTACTTGATTTCGTTATGTTGCAGTTGAAATAAAATGTACCCCATACCTATGACGGCTGTTATTCCTCCAGTGAAACAAGGCGGCACTATCGTTCTCAACCACCAGATGGTCGGGAACGAGGTTGTGTCCAACCCGTTTAACCGAGCGGTTGTCCTCCTGCTGCGCTCACGACCAACACATTTGTCGCCGTCTGGATGCCTGCTGTAACCAAAGCCTTGTGCTAATACAGGGTCCTCGTTTCTTGATTGTGCTTTGTCGCTGAAATCTTGATTTTTTATTTGTAGCAGCTTGACCTGGCGTTGCCTGGTATAGACATTCTCTGGAGTTTGAGAATCTGGCTATTCCAAATCCTGCTACATCAAATCTCCAGAATTCCGTTGCTAATCTTCAAACTTGAGTAAATTTGAAGAGAAGCAGCAAAACAATCTTCAAACTAGAATGTGTTCGAAAATTAGCAGAACAATCGACGGAGAGTTGCCGCTTGACAAGTGACGGCGACAGAGGACGCGCAGCTTCTGCGCCTTCGTCAGGACCGCGACGTGCGGTTGCCAGGTTCACTTCATGACTGCTGACGCCTTCGTCAGGACCGCGACGTGCGGTTGCCAGGTTCACTTCATGACTGCTGACGCCTTCGTCAGGAACTGCCACTAATCGCGTGGTGAAGTTATTTTACCCCCAACTTCTGCTAATTAATTAGGCTGCAATGAACTTTTGTCCCTTTTAGTAGTAATTGCGTGGCAAGAAAGACACGGATGTAAACCCCCACCAAGACGCCGTTTAGTGCTGGTCCGTTTAATGAGGCTTTCATTGCTCACTATAACGTTTCCAACATTTGCGTTACTCCTATTCCAGTTTCTAATCTAAATAGGTTAAAAATAATATGATTTATTATTGATCAAAAATAGTTGAGCTGAAGAAATTTAATTCTTTTCTATGAGTGATCAAGGCACTTCTGAGGTAAATCTGCAGACATGTTTAACTCAATGTGTCGGGGTAGGCGTTAAATGAATTATTGGTTAGGTTTAAATCAAAGACACGGGTAACTTTGTCTGACATTTATTGATGCGGATTTCCAAGAAAGATTGATATGTATGAACCTCTTATAGAAGTGGGAAGAGAGTGACTCTTTACTCCAGACTCCTTGGAGAGCAACAGGAAGTTGCAAGACATGGTATAAAAGTCTTGTATTATGGTAGGAAAGCCTAACAAATGCAAATGAAATGAATTAAAAATATGTTAAGGAGCGCTTATCGCAACTGAGCATCGACGTTGAAAATAAATGTAGAGGAGCGGTAATAGCTTGACTTGATCGTCGTCTCAACGCATTACCGCTGAGAATATTTGGAATTTTATTCCCGAAATTATCGATGAGAAGTACAAGGAAACGTCAATTACTTTTCCGCGCGAAGACGTCCATTGCTTATCAGATTTCTAGTCAAAAATATTTGGTATAGTTTAAAGGTGTATCACCGAATTGCATGTAATTAAATGGCATATTAGTCGGATAGCGGCATTACATGATATTGGTATGAATAGTAGTTAACATCTGACCAGCGTTGTTTAGAAAAACGTACGTACAGCGACACAGATATAATCGAGCTGAAACTGAACGGTAACCTGTATACTTAATCAGTTGAGGACACGAGCCTTTATTCTATGAGCTTTTTCTCGTCGCATGTCGTCAATGTTCCTGATGACGATCCTCCTGGAAAAATCATCTGGGCTTGATCTCTTAAGTTCCTTAAAGGCGGTCTTGTTCTTTGGCAGCGATCACGAGCGCCGCTTTCGGGGGCATTCCTCCAATGGCCACCATTCTCGCTGGAGCTTTTAAAATGATTTAATGAGGAAGTATCACTGAGAAGTGTATATTCAAATTCAGAGATGCGGATTTTTTTTTTCAGTCGTAATGTATCCTGNCGTCAGGATACAAGTTCCTGGCAATGTTCTGCTTATAAAAGAGTCGACAAATGTTGAGCAAGAAACCCTAGTCTCGATCAGACTTGTATCAGTATTAAAAGGTTATTCCGATATTAATTTACTTGATATGCATATAATTAAATCTATAGAGTTGTTTACTCAGCATAGTATATTGCATAATTGAGGTAGTAATGTATTAATTCAGAAAATATTCTTCTAGAACAACAATGTAACTAAACACAGAGCCTGGTTCCCACTTTAACCAAAATGCTGCGAATATTTGCAAGACAGGAAAGAAAATGATGGCAGCAGGGAACTCAGGGACATTTGCATGTGCCGGAATGCACAGCGGGGCTTCGTACAATTGCCCAGCAGCCAGAAGCGGCACGTGGTTTTACTGCCGAGCGCTGCAGGCTCGTGCCTGTAGCGACAAGCAGAGCCTCTGTTGCACGCTGTCTTCTAATAGAAGAAGCAGTCAGTCAGACTTGCCGGTGCTTCGGGGGACCATCATCTTCATATCGGCTGCAAAATACTAATTTTCTTATACATCTATGAACTTTAACTGGATAAAGTTTATGGCCTTAGCTCTAAAAAAATGTATTGTTACGTTACGATGTTAGGTCTGTAGCATTGCAAACGGTACATGTATCTTCAAATGAAAGGCAATATAAGAAGACGTGGTACAACCAAGGTTAAAATAACCTTCAGCTAGCCTATCAAGTAGTAACCAACCTCCTTTATTTACATAATAAATAGCTGGAATTATAAGAGTTCAGTAAAGTAAAAGTAACGCAAGCTGCTTGACCTCAAAGTCGGTACACGGGTACCTGAGACCAAAAGGAAGTATTGGTTTTAAAGCTGCATTTTAATGTCAGAATACCGATGTGACTGCTGTATAATTAAAATTATATATGGTGAGTTT